TGAAATAAAAAGTTGTCTGCAATGCAGTCCAAGAATTTGTTGGATAGTCTGTGCGCCGCTGTGTTATTTTCCCAACATATATCCGGATAGTTGAAGTCCCCCATCACCACCAAATCTTGGGCTTTGGATGATTTTGTTAGTTGTTTAAAAAAAGCCTCATCCACCTCTTCCACCTGGTTAGGTGGCCTGTAGTAGACTCCTAGCATGACATCACCCTTGTTTTTTACCCCTTTTAGCCTAACCCAGAGACTCTCAACACTTCCGTCTCCTATGTCCATCTCTACCTCAGTCCAAGTGTGTACATTTTTAATATATAAGGCAACACCTCCTCCCTTTTTCCCCTGTCTATCCTTCCTGAGCAAGCTGTATCCATCCACACCAACATTCCAATCATGTGTATTATCCCACCAAGTTTCAGTGATGCCAACAATGTCATAGTTGTATTTATTCATTAGCACTTCCAGTTCTTCCTGCTTATTACCCATACTTCTCGCATTTGTATATAGGCATCTAAGATACTGGTTTGATCTTTCCTCCCGGTTTTGTCCTGACCCTCCTTTCTCTCTGCCAATATAGCCCACACTCCCTCTCGTCTCCGACCCATCTCCCAGGTCTCCATGTTCCCCACTTACCTGCGGGCTTTGCTCACCTGTCCCCGTCGAACCTAGTTTAAAGCCCTCCTCACTAGGTTAGCCAGTCTGTGTCCAAATAGGGTCTTTCCCCTCCTCGAAAGGTGAACACCATCTCTGCCTAGCAGTCCTTCCTCAAATAGCATCCCGTGGTCTAGGAAGCCAAAGCCCTCCTGGCGACACCATCTTCGCAGCCAGGCATTCACCTCCATGATGCATCTGTCTCTGCCCGGGCCCCTACCTTTGACAGGAAGAATCGAAGAGAATACCACCTGCGCTCCAAACTCCTTCACCCGTACTCCCAGAGCCCTGTAGTCACTCTTGATCCGCTCAGTGTCACACCGCACAGTATCATTTGTGCCCACATGGATGAGTAGCATGGGGTAGTAGTCAGAGGGCTGGATAATCCTCGACAATGCCTCCGTAACGTCTCGGATACGGGCTCCCGGCAGGCAGCATACCTCCCGAGATGAAATGTCAGGGCGACAGATGGGCGCCTCCGTCCCCCTCAGCAGAGAGTCTCCGACCACCACTACCCTACGTTTCCTATTCGCAGTGGTGGCAGCAGACCTCCCAGCCTTAGGGGTACGAGGCTTCTCCTCCTTTACTGTAGGGGGTAATGCCTTCTTTCCTGTATCAAGAAGAGCATAACGGTTACCTATTACCACAGCGGGAGGGTTCGGAGCAGGGGTGGAGCACTGCCTGCTGCCAGAAGTAACCAGCTGCCAGTGTCCACCCTGAGCCATCTCCTCCTCCACCAGTGGTGTATCAGCAGTCCTGTGTCCTGGGACAGCTACCTCAGCTGTCTCCACATGGACACTGTCCAGGAATTGCTCGTGGATTCGGATGCTTCTCAACCTAGCCACCTCCTCCTGTAGCTCTCCCACCTGCTGCCTGAGAGATTCCACCAGCAGGCACCTTTCACATTGGATGGTCCCCTCAGCCTGGATATCAGTAAGTGGAAATTGCAAGTTACAGTCTCTGCAAAACCACACCAGGATCTGGGTAGAAGCATCCATGCTCAGGCGCTCTGTCTGGCTACAGGCGCAGGTGGAGGAGACAGAAGCAGTGCTGGCACAGGTGTTGCGGGTCTTCCTAACCATCGTAAGCCTCCCTCTGTCAAACTCCCGTCTGCAGCCCCCTGTCGGCTGAAAGGGTTGTTTAAGCAAGAAGTTTAAAGTTTTAAGGGGAATAAAGGGAAAACAGATAGAACCGGCAAGGGACCCTCGCCCCTTCCTGCTCCCCTTCCAAACTCCCTTCCATCGGGTTAACAGTCAGTTGGGAATAATTGAGGCTGTTAGAAATCTTTAACCCCAGTTGGCTATTAATCCTCCTGAATTATTGCCATTGCTATTATTGGGAGTGTCCTTTAATGGTCAGAGCAGTAGACTGCAGGTCAAAACTTCTGGGTTCTGTTTACAACTCCAGCACTGACTTTCTGCCCAGTCATTTCAGTACTCTGTGCCTCAGTTTACCTATATGTAAAATGGGCATAACAATATCTACTTTACAGGGGTGTTGCAAGTGTAATTAATGCAATAGAATATTCTGAGATCCTCAGAGGAGATGTGCTATTGAAATGCCAAGTGTTGTTATAATCGAGGTATTATTTAATACCTTTGTGATAGCTTTCCTGCTGAGTTTCTGAAGTCGTTGTCGTGCAATGTGCATGAGAGATCACTGGCATTGACTTCTGGCTGTACTGGGCATTGCCGGGATATATAATGGCTAGATAGTACATTATCCAATCAGATTTCAGACCTCTACTTTAGGAAAACTCCAGTGATGGTTCAAAATTTTAGAATCATCCAATCCAAAGGGTTGGCCTTTATTATTAAAAGAAAACTAGCAAAACAATTTTTGCCCAAAATGCTGTTCCTCAGAAAAATAAGGTATGCATTAACCTAAAGCCACTAGAAAAGTAATAATAGTCCAAGAGAAACTTATTGTAATAAATATTCTCCTGCCGTGTTTGCTGCATTGCAGAATTGTGTAATTGCATTAGAACCTCACTGAAACTGACAGTGAAAGTCATTCTAGCAACAAAAGCAAAATGTTCAGTGTCAAATCTGAGAAATTTAACAGATAGAACATGAATTATGCAAATTATTTAATTTTTTTTTTAATATGCTAGTTGTAGCCTGAGTAATTAAACTTATTTTAAAAATACACATCCGGGTAGCAAACTGAGACCTTTGTTATTGCACAACTATTTGCTTGCTTTACAATTATCCCTTATCCACTCCTTTGTCTGGAGGGGAGGGATAGCTCAGTGGTTTGAGCATTGGCCTGCTAAACCCAGGCTTGTGAGTTCAATCCTTGAGGGGGCCACTTAGGGATCTGGGGCAAAATCAGTACTTGGTCCTGCTAATGAAGGCAGGGGGCTGGACTCAATGACCTTTCAAGGTCCCTTCCAGTTCTAGGAGATAGCACCATTAATTTATTTATTATTTATCCACCTATTGCATTTTATAACCTAGATTGTCAACTCTTCAGGAAATCTTTTTACTGCCTGTTTGTGCAGTAGTGCCCAGCGCAGTGGAGTCCTGTTCTTTGTCTGGTGCCCCAAGGCACTATTGTAATAGCAATAGTATTAACCTGGGAGTCATTAAAATGGCAGTGTAGTTAAGAGGGTCATAACAACATTTGGGTAGGCTCTCAAGCAGAAATTAAAAGTTAGCTCCATGCTCCTATGGAAGTAGAGCTGGTCAAAAAAATGCCAATTCTATTTCACAGGATTTTTTTTTTCTATAAAAACTTTATAGTTTTTGTGGAAAAACCGAAACATAAAACTGAAAAAAAAATGTGGTTTTTCATTTTCTGGGTTTTCATCAACCCGGGAAAGTTTTGAGAAAAATGTCTGCCAAAATGTTTATGGTTTAAAAAAAAAAAAAAAAAAAAAGAAACTTTCAGCGCCAAAAAATATTTTGACGAAAACATTTCAGCCAGGTCGACACGCAACTTCAAGGTCTCCTAAATCCCATTCCACTTTTGCTGGCTGACTTTCTCCACAGTGGCTGGCACGTATCTCTCCCCTTAATTAACTTCCTTTTCCATTGCTCCTCTCCTCCTGGCTGGTTGCTGTCTTTTATCTACCTCTTCGCCCACTACCCTTTCCTGGCTGCCTCTTTTCCTAATGAGTTTCCCAGACTTTTGCTCATCACATCATCTGTGACCATGGCATCTTCCATCAAGTATGGTCAGACCCATCCAGTGCCAAACCTTCCGGAAGTATTCCTCTAATACTATTTTGATTTTAATTATAGAATGGAATAGCATATTTACAGCAGCTACTCTGTTCTATCAATATTTAGCTGCAGTCTCTTTAATGTAGATTATCTCACTATGTATTTTATGGACCTTATGAAGTATTATAGGGTATTTAACTTGGATAGTTATAGCAGGCATCTTTGCATTTATCATTTATTGAGGTAAATTTTTAAGCTAGTTATAGTAGGCCTGATAAACCATAATATCTCAATGCATTTTGCAAATTCAGATTTGGAGCATGTTTACAAATGTATTATCTCCCAGTTAATTTGTCTGTCCTATAAAACCGAACTTGGACATCTTTGCACTAGTGAGTGTAGGAAAGTACTTACTGCATGTTCATAATAGTAACTTTCCTGAGTATACTCTACCTTGGATGTTTTCAGTTGTTGCCAAGTGCATATTTTTAGTATACTAGAGCAAGAAATTGCCACAGATTACTTCTTTACATTTAAAGCCATGATTCAGTGCATGGAGCAAAACCAGGTAACAATATGAGGAGGTGGGGGGTGGGACGATTTACATTTCTGTACTGTAACTTACAAATGGCCTAACTATTTTCTTAAATTTATAAAACAAGCTACGTTTCGTGCACAACTGAATTATAAACTCCTAATAATCTGGTTTCTCTTACCTTCAGTAGTGTGAATGGTGCCATTAGAGTACTAGACTATGCACAGACGCCGAGTTCCTGTGTTCCCGGGGGGGCATGCTCAACTCTCGCTCCACCCCAGGCCTTGCCCCCACTCCACTACTTTCCCCAAGCCCCACCCTCGCTCTGCCTCTTCCTGCCCCATTCCGTCTCCTCCCCCAAGTGCACCCCACCCTCGCTCCTCCCCTTCCCCCCAGTCCCTCCTGCATGCTGCTGAACAGCTGATCTGTGTTGGGCGGGAGGCACTGGGAGGGAGGGAGGGAGAGGAGCTGGTCACTATTTTTTTTCCCCCGTGGGTGCTCCAGCCCCGGAGTACCCACAGAGTTGGCGCCTATGTGACTACGGATAAAGACAGACTACACTGTGAAAGTTAATAATACTGCAAGCTCAAGTTGCTTTGAATTGTTACAGACCTATCCTAACATTTGGCTATTTGTTGTTTTGTGCAGTTTTTAAGAAATATTACTACCATGAGCACCAAGGAGACAGTTACTTGGAAAATACACGTGCTGATGTAATTCCAAGCCTCAGCATCAATACCACCTTCTTGATGAATTCATCAGTGAGCAGGTCTATGTCGCTGGAGAATCAGACGGGCATGAATGAGGTCGTGCATTATGGACGTGAAACTGCTGTCCTTAGTCTCATGTTGATGCTGGGAACCCTTTGGCTTGGTCATACACTTTATCAATTTAAGAAAAGGTGAGTTACTTCAGCCTTAGAGTTCATTCTACAGATTCAAATCCCAATCTTGAGTCTAGGGTCTGTCTACACTGCAAATAGACACCTGTGGCTGGTCCAGGCCAGCTGACTTGGACTTCCAGGGCTCGGGCTAAAGGACCATTTAATAATGGTGTAGACATCAGGCTGCAGCCCAACCTCTGGGATTCTCCCACCTTGCAGGGTTCTAGAGACTGGGCTCCAGTGTGAGCCCGAACATCTTCACTGCAATTAAACAGCCCCTTAGCCTGAGCTCTCGAGTCCAAGCTAGCTGGCCTGGGCCAGCCGGGGTTTTTTAATTGCAGTGTAGACATACCCCTAGTGAAGTTAGTGGGAGTTTTACCATTGACTTCAGTGGGAACAAGAACAGGCCTTAATTTGGCTGGCAATCTGGAAAATCCCAGTCGCCGGCAGCTGCGGCGCAGATCAAACAGCGATACAAGTTGTTGAGGAGTGCCTGCTAACCAAATTCAGCGGTGGACTCCGAGAGCTCCACTTGGCCGCTACGAACGCCGTTGCTTGACTCAGCGATTAGGCAAACGCTAAGTAAATCTTGTTTAATCAGTGGAAGACATGCTTCCATATCTGGCTGGGCATTTTAAGACATTAGTAGATTTTGAAAGTGTTGTGACAGTCATATAAACTTCCTTTGACTCTCTTGGAGGGTGCGTGGCTAAAACCCAGTTAATCTCATAAGAATGGCCACTCTGGGTCAGACCAGTGGTCCATCTAGCCCAGTATCCTGTCTTCCATTGGTGGCCAATGCCAGGTGCTGCAGAGGCAGTGAACAGAACAGGTCATCACTGAGTGATTGTCCACTGTTGTCCACTCCCAGCTTCTGGCAATCAAGCTAGGGACAACCAGAGCACGGGGTTGCATCCCTGACCATCTTTGCTAATAGTCATTGACAGACCTATTCTCCATGAACGTATCTAATTGATTTTTTTAAAACCCATTGTATTTTGGCCTTCACAACATCCTCTGGCAACAAGTTCCACAGGCTGACTGTGTCTTGTGTGAAGCACTACTTCCTTTTGTTTGTTTTAAACCTCCTGCCTATTAACTTTATTGGGTGACCCCTGGTTCTTGTGTTATTGGAAGGGGTAAATAACACTTCCCTATTCACTTTCTCCACACCACTCATGATTTTATAGACCAGTATAATATTGCCCTCAGTCGTCATTTTTCCAAGCTTAAAAGTCCCAGTCTTTTTAATCTTTCCTCGTACAGAAGCTGATCCATCCCCCTAATGATTTTTGTTGCTCTTCTCTGTACCTTTTCCAATTCTAATATATCTTATTGGAGATGGGGTGACCAAAACTACACAGTATTCAAGGTGTGGATGTACCATGGATTTATATTATAATATTTTCTGACTTATTATCTATCCCTTTCCTAATGTCTCCTAACATTCTGTTAGCTTTTTGGCTGCCACTGCACATTGAGTGGATGTTTTCAGAGAACTCTCCACAGTGACTCCAAGATCTTTCTTGAGTGGTAACAGCTAATTTAGAGCCCATCATTTTGTAGGGATTATTTTCCAATGTGCATTACTTTGCCTTTATCAGCATTGACTTTCTGCTGCCATTTTGTTGCCCAGTCACCCAGCTTTGTGAGATCCCTTTGTAACGCCTCACAGTCTACTCTGGACTTAACTATCTTGAGCAATTGTGTATGATCGGCAAATTTTGCCACGTCACTGTTTTCTAAATGATCTGGAAAAGGGGTAACTGTTTAGAAATATACTCCCATATTGTAAATGATAATTTCCTGGAAAGGTACTTCATCTCACTTTCCTCCAAAAGGCAGTGAGCTGGGCATCCAACTCTCTCTGAGAGTCCATGGGAATTGGGTGCCTTAACTCCTTTTGGAGTCTTTGACAAATCTCCTACTTGAATGGTTAAAGAATGGAAAAGTACTGGAGCTGGAAATTGCAGACACAAGCCGCTTTGCGGGGGGGGGGGGGACTGGAAATAACAGCTAGCTGTCAGCTCTTGAGGACTGTGCGTGTTTTTCAAAGCCTGAATCTTAAATTTTGTTCCCTTTTGGGTTTCACTGTGATTTTCATCAAACTTCAGAGCCTACATTTCCCATAAACGGAGATTCGACTATTTTAGCTTTCAAAAAACGGGTAGGTACATTACGTCGTTAAGGACTTTTAAAAATAATATTGGGAGTGAAGAATTAACAATAGCAGCACTGGGCTGAAGTAGCATTCGGTATAGAGCCTGTGGTTTGAATGATTACTCCATTACCGTCATAGCGGGAAAACTGAGTATGGTGGATGCTAATGGAAAGTTGTTGGTTTTTTTTTTTTATAATTGCAGCCCCTATTTGCATGCAAGGGTCCGCGAAATCCTGTCCGACTGTGCCTTACCCATATCCGTTCTAACCTTCTCCATCGTAGGCTCCTACTTCTTCAAGGAAATAGAAAGTAAGTCCGCTTGTTTACTCTTCCAAATTAGCAGGAGAAAGGCGCTTAAGATGGAATGAAAAAAGAAAACAAGTTTATTGCAAAGAACATTAACATAAAAATACAAAAGTTCTCAGTATATTGTCTCAAATACATGCCTACACATGCATAACTATGCCTCCAATTCGTCAATAAAAGTTAATTTATGCAAACACTGAATCAAACAGTTGCATATAGTTTTTCTCAGTGCATTATTTAAGTTTGTCATTTCATTTGAATGTCATTAAAATGTGCATCTGTTGTTAGAAAGAGTTGATCCTATTATTCTCATAAAGAACAAAAGGGCAGGGCAATTAGTAGGCAGGAAGGGTTGTTGCCAGCTGTGCAGATGTGGTGTTGATGATCTCGGCCTGTTCTTTTAGTCTCCTCTTTATATTTTCCTAATGAAAAGTGTAATGGTCCAAAGCATCTGGGTGATTCTAAGATACACAAGGAAGTCTAACAATGATACACCATTCATTGGACAGATGGATCAGCTTTTCCATATCAGGAAGAGAGAATAGGGACAGGAATTGCATTGACCTGTGATGACGTGAGTGGACGATGTGAGGAAGTGTATGGAAGTAAATAAGAAGTGGCACTTTTGGTGTGACTCTCACTCCATCCAACTGGATTGAGAAGTGGTGAATTGTAGCGTGTGATCTTTCCCTTAGTGACGATGGATTTCTTGCCACCAGCTGAAGCCAGCCCCGTATTATGTTAAAACCCATTGTGCAGCTCATTTGGTGTTGAGAGTATTTTAAAATGCCTATACTAGCAAATTAACTATGAAGTAAGACTGTACGATGAAGATGGCAAATTATTTGTAATTATTTCAGATCCAGAAACATGCTGTAAAATCCTATGTCTGTGATAAGAGTGGGGTGTTTTTTTTGTTTGTTTGTTTTTTGCATTGTCCTCAATTAAAATTTTCATCTCCTTATAAAATAAAAATTGCAGCGTGACTAGCCATGATCAGTCAGGGCTAGAGTGATAAATATATATTTTTTAAAAACAGTAGATTTATAGACTTCAGCACAAGAAGGGGCCATTATGATCCTCTTGCCTGACCTTCTGCATAATGCAGGCCAGAGAGACAGTGGAACCTGTATCAAAGCCAATAACTTGTGGTTGGGCTAGAACATAAGTTGGCTTCGTGCAGGTAGGATGCCTCTTTAACACTTTTTTTTCCCCTGTGTGTTTACAGTGTCCAAATTTAACTACAACCCATCTGAGAGCTTATTCGTGCTGGCCCCAATCCAATCTCTCTCCATTGGCTCTGTAATGAGTGCCATGGGCCTGGGGTTCCTTCTGTCGATGCTTTTCTTCATAGAGCAGAATATAGTGGCATCACTCACAAATGCTCCAGAGAACAGGTAAAATGGTTAATCCCTTTCTTTCCAAACCAGGGCAGTTCTTCTTAGGGCTCCTCTATGTGAACAATGAGACCGGGGCAGTGAATCTACCCAGCCCTAGCCTCGAACTATCCTTGTGCACCCTGCTAATGCTTGTTAACAGTTGAATAGCCTTCTTTGACCTAGTCCTCTTTGAAATGGGAAACAGAACAGGAGTACTTGTGGCACCTTAGAGACTAACAAATTTATTTGAGCATAAGCTTTCGTGGGCTACACCCCACTTCATCGGATGCATAGACTGGAACATACAGCAAGAAGATATTTATACATACAGAGGACATGAAAAGGTGGAAGTAGCCATACCAACTGTAAGAGGCCAATCAATTGAGATGCTCAAATAAATGTGTAAGTCTCGAAGGTACCACAAGTAGTCTGTATCCACAAAAAGAACAGGAGTAACACAGCTTCTACTCTGAAACCTTTGAAATGGGACTAGCTCAAAGAGCAGTAATGAACTGTTAACGCATGTCAGCAGGGTACATATGGAGAGTGCCCCGGAGATTCACACTCCTGCTTGCAGCAGTCTAATTGTTCATGTAGAGAAGCCCTGAGATAATTTCACTTCAGTACTATATTCCAGTGTTCTGAGTAAAGATGGACTGGGACTGAATTACACAACCTTGCTAGCTCTGTTTGTGTACCCCTTATATATTTACATGTGGAAGACTCCAAATTCTTCATACCTGGAATGGTATTTGAGGCCAGTCCCAGAATTACTGCCTCTAACGATGTGTTCTTTTGGGAGTGATTTCATAGGTAGGGGTCTGCTTAAATCGTGGAGAAATCACACCCTTTTTTTGCAGGTTGGTCACGGCATAAATAGCAAATTTTGCACGTGTAACACATCCATGAAATTTGTTGTTTTATGCTGTGAGCGACCCACAAAATCTGTGTGATTTCTCTGCAGCATTTCTCAAGCTGGGGGCCCTACCTCAAAAGGAAGTCTCAAGCCAATTAGGGGTTATGGCATTGCCACCCTTACTTTTTCGCTGCTGCCGGCAGCGGTGCTGCCTTCAAAGCTGGGCACCCAGCAAGCAGCTGCCGCTGTCCATTCTGCCTTCAGAGCTGGGTGGCCGGAGACCAGATTTCATGCAATCAGGACATGTGATTGCAGCATACGAAGTTGTACTCGCGCTAGTTTTGATCAAAGTTAGCTCGAATAATAATAGCAGTGAAGCTACAGCAGCACAGACTAGCCCTGCCCGCCCAGGACCCTGGGTATGGGCTTGAGCAGCTGCCAGCCTGCGCTACTTTGAATCATAGAAGATTAGGGGTGGAAAGGACCTCAGGAGGTCATCTAGTCCAACCCCCTGCTCAAAGCAGGACCAACACCAACTAAACCATCCCAGGCAGGGCTTTGTCAAGCCGGGCCTTAAAAACCTCTAAGGAAGGAGATTCCACCACCTCCCTAGGTAACCCATTCCAGTGCTTCGCCACCCTCCTAGTGAAACAGTTTTTCCTAATATCCAACCTAAACCTCCCCCACTGCAACTTGAGACCATTGCTCCTTGTTCTGTCATCTGCCACCACTGAGAACAGTCTAGATCCATCCTCTTTGGAACCTCCTTTCAGGTAGTTGAAAGCAGCTATCAAATCCCCCCTCACTCTTCTCTTCTGCAGACTAAACAAACCCAGTTCCCTCAGCCTCTCCTCATAAGTCATGTGCTCCAGCCCCCTAATCATTTTTGTTGCCCTCCGCTATACTCTTTCCAATTTTTCCACATCCTTCTTGTAGTGTGGGGCCCAAAACTGACCCAGTACTCCAGATGAGGCCTCTCCAATGCCGAATAGAGGGGAATGATCACATCCCTCAATCTGCTGGCAATGCTCCTACTTACACAGCCCAAAATGCCGTTAGCCTTCTTGGCTATATTACCATTGTTACTTGAACTAGCTTTGCTCTAGAAATAGATCAAAGCTAGCTCAGGTATTTCTGCATGTGCTGCATTTCCACCTTCCAACTGCAGTGTAAACATACCCATAGTGCCAAGTGTGCTCTGGCATTATTCCTAGAAATTTATATTTGGGGATTACATGGTGCACGATGAGTGGCTACCACCCATTTTGTTTGTTGGGCCAACAAGTACTCAACCTACCTGGGAGCTTCCAAAACCACCAATGTCTAAAGCAGAGGTTCTCAAACTGGGGGCATGGAATGTATTCTGGGACGGTGTGAGAAGGCAGAGCAAAGAGCAGTGGCTTCTGGCTGGGCACCCACTCTGAAGGCAGCGCCGCCGCCAGCAGCAGCGCAGAAGAAACGATAAGGTATTGCTACCCTTACTTCTCTGCTGCTGCTGGTGGTGGCAGCGCAGCCTTCTGAGCTGAGTGGTCGGAAAGCGATACACTATATACTTAAATGGCTCTGTTTGAATCAATGATGCCTTACTGTTTTTAATATTTAGTGAGAGTTTAATGTTGATTGATTGATTTTAATCGGTATATGTACTTGTGTGGTCAGGGGAGGGGGAGCGAAAACTACTTACAGATATGAACAAGAGGGGCGCAATCAAATAAGTTTTTGAGAACCACTAGGCTAGAGAGACCAGATAGTCAGACCCTCTCAAATTGGGTTTATTGGAACAAAGGTGGTTATTTTAAGCCTCTGTTAAGAAAATGAATCGTCAGGAAGCATTTCAGTTTTTGGGAAGAATCTTCAGAAGCAGTCTCTTATATGACTTTTGACAAAGACAAAGAACCAGCATTGCGTTGGAGCGGTGAGCAAAGCTTCTGAAGATTGGTTACCTCACCCTGCTGCTTTGCTGTTCTTATTTTATGGATTTTTCATTTATGATCTCATTTATTCTGAAGTCAATGGGTGCGCCTCCCATTCTGATATGTGGTCAGCCTTGTGGTTTCTTGATGTTTGGAATGCGGTGAATATTTCTCTTTAAACTAAGAGCGGATCAACCAAAAAGAGCTACCGCATCATGTATTGCAGCTATGCTAATTTAAAAGAATTTTGAAACTGAAAAAGGAGCATTTGGAACTATGCTGGCTTGCCGCTATATAATTCAGAATATGGAAGCAAAGGAGGTCAGGCTTAAAGTAGGACAGTATGTGTAATCTAGTATCACTTTTATCTAAAAGCTCTGATTTATGCACAGGCTTGGAAACAAGAAGCTACAGTCTTCAAATATTCCCTTTGATGTTTCTACCAACTACAATCAGCTGTGGCATCAAGGGTGAATTTATAGGATTTTTCCTCCCCCGCCCCCCCGGGAACTACCATTTTCTCAGTGGATTTTTTTTTTTGCTAATGTAACACATGGGAGGGTGTTTTTTTTTTTTTTCTTGCATAACAATTTTTTTTTTTAGTGTTTTTTCTGTTTCTCACACTTTATTTGATAAAGGACCATTAGCACAGGAAAGCAGAGAGAGATGGACAGGCTCAAAACAATTGGGTTATGCCTGTTCTGGGATTTCTTCTCTGTGCCGCTGGAAAATTCTCCTCTATCCTCATTGATGCAGCTCCTTAATTAAATAGTGATTGGCATAAATGTAAGTTGTAAATGGGTCATTTTGCCATTTTCTTGATTGAATTTCTTGAGTCATTTACTGCCTATGTGACATTAGAAGCACATGTGATGTGGTGACTTTTGGTATTGAGCAGGGTTCTAGTTAAAGGGTATGTAACTGGGTTCTTCCTTAGATATCAGAGCCAAACTGCTAACTCCCACATCAATGTCTTTTTCAAATGGAATGGAGCCTTTCTGTTGTGGTACAGAAAGGCAAAAGATGCTGCTCAACTGAAAGTAGATTGAATTGCTCAGTTACAAGATTCTTCAAAACTGGATTGGGTAAAGCATTACCAATTCAAATCTAGATCTAGCTGGTCCTGCCTCAGCATAGAATCATAGAAGATTAGAGTTGGAGGAGACCTCAGGAGATCATCTAGTCCAACCTCCTGCTCAAAGCAGGATCAACCCCAACTAAATCATCCCAGCCAGGGCTTTGTCAAGCCGGGCCTTAAAAACCTCTAAGGATGGAGATTCCACCACCTCCCTAGGTAACCCATTCCAGTGCTTCACCACCCTCCTAGTGAAATAGTGTTTCCTATTATCCAACCCTGACCTCCCCCACTGCAACTTGAGACCATTACTCCTTGTTCTGTCATCTGCCACCACTGAGAACAGCCGAGCTCCATCCTCTTTGGAACCCCCCTTCAGGTAGTTGAAGGCTACTATCAAATCTCCCCTCACTCTTCTCTTCTGCAGACTAAATAAGCCCAGTTCCCTCAGCCTCTCCTCATAAGTCATGTGTCCCAACCCCCTAATCATTTTCATTGCCCTCTGCTGGACTCTCTCCAATTTCTCACCATCCTTTCTGTAGTGAGGGGCCCAAAACTGGACACAATACTCCAGATGTGGCCTCACCACTGCCGAATAGAGGGGAATAATCACTTCCCTCCATCTGCTGGCAATGCTCCTGCTAATGCAGCCCAATATGCCGTTAGCCTTCTTGGCAACAAGGGCACACTGCTGACTCATATCCAGCTTCTCATCCACTGTAATCCCCAGGTCCTTTTCTGCAGAACTGCCACTTAGTCAGTCGGTCCCCAGCCTGTAGCAGTGCATGGGATTCTTCCGGCCTAAGTGCAGGACTCTGCACTTGTCCTTGTTGAACCTCATCAGATTTCTTTTGGCCCAATCCTCCAATTTGTCTAGGTCACTCTGGAACCTATCCCTACTCTCCAGGGTATCCACCTCTCCCCCCAGCTTAGTGTCATCCGTGAACTTGCTGAGGGTGCAATCCATCCCATCATCCAGATCATTAATGAAGATGTTGGCTATGCGGGGGTGGACTAGATGACCTCTCAAGGTTCCTTCCAGCCCTGCTTTTCTATGATTCTGTGATCGGTGAAGAGAAAAATGATGGGTCGACTGGGCAATGTACAGACGGCTTAATAAATTTTCACTGTCCCTTACATCTGTGGTTCTGTACATTGAGTTTCAGCATAACTTAGCTGATGTTGCCCATTATTCAAATTGAGTACGTGCTGTACATATCTTGAATCAGGTCCCAGGCCGTGGTCCGCTTGCTGTCAACTGAATACTTTAAAAACTTATCAAGGGCAACATCCCAGGTTGGGACTGAAACAAGGATAGAGTAAGTAGCCAGATGGATCTAGGCTTTGGGAAAAAAGCCCACAGTGGCATAGGCAATGAAATACTTTTTTGTGTAAGCTAACGGGAAAATCCAAAAAGGGCAGATAGGGAAAGAAAACAATAAAGGAAGCCTCATATGTTCAGGTGCTGCTTTGGCAATGTGGAAGAACAGGATGTGAGCTGGGAACGTGCCTGCTCAAAGCTTGCCTATAGGGGAAGCAGGCACATAACCCCCAATGGATGCTGCTGATTAAAGGTGTCTTTCCTCAGAGTGGGCCCCCCCCTACGGGCCTTTAGTAAATGTTTAAGCATGTAGCTAACTTACCAGGCACACACATGAAATGCATCAAAAAACAAGGCCTGGAAAATTTCAGCTTGATGGATGAAAGTTTATGAGCAACTAAAAACAGGAGTTTAAAATGAAAAATGCTTTGGCAACCCTTGCTATTGCTGTTGCTAGTACTCCAGCGAGAACAGTCGTACATCTGATGGTAATATAAATTTTGAATGAGTTGAGGTATCCTGTTTAATATGACAGTAATAAATGCTGAAGAAATTGAGGACTAGACCATTCTTATAATGGGAAATGTTTCTCTTTTCAGTTGTTCTTTCAAACTGATTGCTCTCCCCCGGCAGCAATCACGTTTTCATTACCTTTCAAATTCATGTACTGTCCTCTCTAAAAGAGGAGGTCTGTAAAATTCTGTGCGTTGAGATGCACAATCAGTGTCCATCAATGAACCTGCTGGCTCAGTCATAGCAAGGGCAGCATTGTTACTACATGGTTGAGTGCACATAAAAACTTTATTAACTAGAGTTTATTTCAGGTTAGTGAAAGGAACAGCTTATCACTGGGACCTCCTCCTTGTAGCTCTGATTAACACGGGACTGTCTGTCTTCGGATTGCCATGGATACATGCTGCATTCCCTCATTCCCCAATGCACGTCCGAGCACTGGCCTACGTGGAAGAGAGGGTTGAAAACGGGCACATCTATGAGACGTAAGTTTTGGGGACAAATCCATAGAAGGAAAGAGATGTGTGTCTGGGCATCCTGAGGGGTTTTCCGGGGTTCTTTAAACACTACAAATGATTAATTCACATCATTCAGAACAATTTTTCCTGTCAGTCTCCACCAATCCAGACGGCGGGTGCTAGGAATGTTCTGCCCACATCAACACAGATGCAGCTGGGATGAAGAAAGATTGTTTGGGGGTCACTTATTGGTCCCAGGACCAGCTATCAAACCTTGTGGTTGACTGTAAACACCACTACTATTCTGCATCTTTGGAGTAGCTGGCAGTTGCACTGCTCTGACAGGGCACTTTCTTTCGGTGCTAGCCTCAAGGTATGCCGCTGGGAAGCCAGGTCTTCCATATCTCAGTACTTTTTTTTCCTACTCTTTTTGGTTCATCTGGGAATCCACGAGAAAAAAAACTTTTTGTTGAACTCTGTCTCCTCAGAGATCTTAGTATTTCTAAGCTCTCTGCGGAAGCCCTGCTGAGCAGTGAGACAGTAGTTTGGCCAGACGCTGCCTGCTTGTCTCATTAGAAAAATATCCAGTGCGACTCCCCCGTGTCTGAAACCTGCGAGGTCAATAGTGCAAAGGGTAGAAAACAGTATCAGTGTGGATCTGTTTCAAAGCTCACTGCAACATCTTCCATTGTACCTCAGGAAGCTGAGAGATTTCTGTTACACAGATAGCTTTCCTGGGGCCACCCCTCTGCCATTAGGTCTTGGGAAAACATTGACAGGACTGAGGCAAGTAGGTGCACACGACCATAAGCTACACTAAGAATCTTCTCCTTCGTGTTCATTCTGCCCTGAGGTGCTTAGATATATAAATGACAACTTTGAACTGGATGCTGGGGAATGGGAGTATTTTCTGCCTTCTACAGCTCCCGTGGAGATTCCAGATCTCTTGTTCCTCACAAAGCTGTAAACCAGGGGTAGGCAACCTATGGCACGCGTGCCGAAGGCGGCACGCAAGCTGATTTTCAGTGGCACCCACACTGCCCGGGTCCTGGCCACCGGTCCGGGGGGCTCTGCATTTTAATTTAATTTTAAATGAAGCATCTTAAACATTTTAAAAACCTTATTTACTTTACATACAACAATAGTTTAGTTATATATTATAGGCTTGTAGAAAAAGACCTTCTAAAAACGTTAAAATTGGCACGCGAAACCTTAAATTAGAGTGAATAAATGAAGACTCGGCATACCACTTCTGAAAGGTTGCCGACCCCTGCTGTAAACTATAAACAAGAGGCTCTATGTATTGTTGTCTTCCTCCTCCTCAACTGCCTTGTTGTGAGAGGGAAGCTGAAGCAAAGCTTAAGTAGAAAATCAAAAAAGGGTCGTTCGCCTCTGGGCACGGAAAGCTCCCACCTCTTGCTCTCTGAAAGAAACCAAGCTACAGACTCAGAACACGATGGATACAAGTAAACACAAGAATCAAGAACCTCCCCTGAAGTGGGCAAAAAATTTCCTCTTTCTTGTCTGTGGAGAAATCTTCATCAGAGTTTAATCCAGGCCAACCTTGGAGTCTGATCGTGTAGCTAAATTAATTCAAGGTGCTACGCCGCATATAGCGAGGAGCCCAGTGATCTAGCCTTGGTTTAAGGATTCTTTGAAGAGGAGCTAGGATTATATTCTGGAGTCTCCCCCAGTTCCCTGTATTTCCTCAGCTGATGACAAGCCTTCTAGGGCTATAGTCTTAGCCGCCAGACTCTAAAAAGTCTCTGCAGAGCCTGTGTGAACTGATTTTTGAAGAGCTTTTTATATAAAATGGACAAATTTGGTTAGATTTTGCCAGCAATGGGCACATTCCCTCTTGTCCCCCCTCGCCTGGCCAGATTTCAAGCCCTTGCTACAAAGCATGGAAGTGCTAGAGCTTCTCAACCAAACAATTGTAAGAATTTTTTTTTTGACATGGGTACAACATATTTTCCCTAATCTTGTTTGTGGAAACAGTTGAACGTTTCTTCCAGAAACTTTTCAGAATAATTCAACTTCATAGAATCATAGACTTTAAGGTCAGAAGGGACCATTATGATCATCTAGTCTGACCTCCTGCACAACGCAGGCCACAGAATCTCACCCACCCACTCCTGTATCAAACCTGTGTCTGAGCTATTGAAGTCCTCAAATCATGGTTTAAAGACTTTAAGGAGCAGAGAATCTTCCAGCAAGTGAGGGAAGACGCCCGGCATGGGAAATGTCAGCCCAAATGGGTGAAATCTGGCAAGGTTGCAAGCAACTGACAACTGGTCAGGAAAACTTTGCTATAAGCGGTGCTACGAGCGCTGCCTATAAATAGTGTCCTAGAGCTGGAAGCAGATTCACAGCACTTCTCACATCAAGACCATTTCCCATGTACCTAACAGCACTAATATCGCCAGCAAACCCCATCAGCGCTGTTGTTCCTAAACCATCAGGAGAGGGGACCAGGAGCCTATATTTACCCTGCTTAGACTTTCAAGTTGTTTTGATGGGTAGAATTATATCTCTTGGCTCTGAAAATAATCATCTAATCCAGATCTGCACATAAAGTTCAAACCTCTTACCCTCGCTTTTCTAATTCACACAGGCCCTATCTCCCTCTCTGACCTGGTCTCCTTTGGAATGCCCTCTCTGGCTCTGTCATGTCCAGGTCAGGTTGCAAGCTCTCTTTTACTTGGCTTACGAGGCACCTAGTACGCTTTGTGAATGCTCAAAATAACAATTCCGATAAATTTGTGAACCATGAGGCTGCCCAGTAATTGACCCGTTTGCATCAAACATAAATTCCCACTGTATACTGTCTGCTGAAGAGAGCCTGGGGCACTTTTAATAGGCACATTCAGTATTTTCCTGGACAGGCCAAATTAACTAATGTATTCCATCCCTCGTGTTTCACTATTTAACAGAGGGTCATCTGAGAGGCTAGAATAGAATGTTACTGGTCCTAGAAGCTCCTGAATGGTTACTGATGCTGGACACAAGCCATCAAAGAATCAGTTATGCTTCCAGCTTGCCTGAGTCCATCATCTCAAGGATCTTTGTTCCGCAACAAGCCAGGCCTGGATGCACACCAGTGGGGAATGAATTCCATCCACCTCACTGACTGCTGGCCATCCCAATTCTTCCAAAGGTCCTTACAGAATTTGGGGTAATCGTCTGTAAATAGCAAAATGGGAAGAACTTGTCCCTTTGGAGTCTGGATTTTTGCATGAAGATCTGGCCAGTGGTTCTAGGTTTTGCAGGAGGGTCTTGACCATTGTTAGCAGATTCCAATTTCTGCTGTGCAAATGCAGTTGGGAGACTGAGGGTAATTCCTTTTGATGACCCTTCTGTCATTTTTAGGTTTGATCCTGGATCTGTTGTATCACTCATCCATGGAGCTTAAACATGGCCTTCAAAAGACTTTGCATTCCCCCCTTTTAATAGATGGGCTTTATTCTTTAGATCTTGTAACTAACTGATCTATCTTAATTCTGCCATGTTATTCAAGTATAATATTTTCTATTTTTTTCCCCTTGTTAAAGAGTAACAGGTTACAGTTTATATTTATTGGCATGGAAGGTTACGTTACCCGAGAAGCCTTCACTTTTGGGAATTTAAGTCTGGATCTCACCACAACCTTAAATGCTGCATTCTTGCATTTATTATATAAAATAGGTGGTTTGAAATGCAGTCTCTCCTACAGTAAGGGAGTGTCTATATAATATATCTTTTACAAGAATTCAGTGTGGAAAGGATCCACCCCACAGGGCAGGAAATCTCCTATAGGCCAGAAGGAATTGCATAGCCCCAGAAATGTGAGTGTGTGTGTGTGTGAGTGTATACAAAACAGAAAAATGTGTTCTATTGGATCTCCATTCCTGTGACTTTAAAATGCTTTGTTACCAGAAGCTTGGTTGCAGTTCATCTGGAATACAAGGTTCTACATCCAGATAATGTCACCACAGGATGGCAGTGATGGGGTGTATAAATCCCACAATGGGGAGAGGCGGGCACAGGAACAATTCTGGGCCCAGGTAGCCCCACCCTGGCAGGCCTGCTGGGTATGCTCTAGCTGGAGGAGGGATTTGAAAGGGAGTCATCACTTCAGCACAAGTGGGTGGCAGGCAGAGGGTCAGGAGCTGCGCTCATTGCAATAAAGGGGGGTCCCCAGGAGGAGGGCAGCCGCACAAAGCCGGGACTTCTCAGCCTGTAGATGCCCATAGACCAGGTGAGAAGGGATAACCACACGCAAGTCACAACGTATCCAGAAGAGGGACAGAGTTGTTGGAAGAGACCATGCAGAGAGTACCTGACGCTTTTCGTACGCTACCCAAGTGAGCCCCTTGGTCGGAACTTGGTGGAGTGGGAGAACCCGGGTTCCCTTCCCTCCCACTAACCATGAGGCATGGCCGTTTACCGCTAGTGTGGGCTCCCCCACTCACAGGCACCGAAACAATCTTCAGTCCAGTTGTCTCTGTGTTGATATAGGCAGGCCTTTGCCAGCAGTTAACCTCTGGATTGGTGGTTAGATTTCCTTATAAGGAAACAAAAATACAGGTAAACTGTCCATTTTTTTTTTTTTGGATAATCCTGGGAGAGGAGTTTTCCCCTTTTCGCTGTTTTTGGTAGGCACGTGGGACAATGGCAGAGATTGCTCACATTTAGGGTAGCAATGTCCTTTTTTCTTATCTTATTTTTTGGCTTACTGCATGGGGCACTCTGTTTCACATTCAGGAATGTTTCTAGACTGTGTTGTACAGTGTGTTTTAAAGTTACTTTGTCTTTTCTTACTTCCTGTCAATATTTTTCCAGTGACAGGTCTGTCAGTCTAAAAATCTGTCAAATTCTGGAAATTTGCATTAAGTAATTATGTTTTTAGCATGGTTAATGGGAAATTTGCAGAGCAACTCCCATACGCCACCACAGGATTAAGTTCCTAATTCCCTACATAATTCTCTGAACATTTTCCCTGGTGTATAAACAAGGGGATTCTTGTGTTTATCAAAAATGCTGACGACTTAGTCAGGAGAATGTGTTTTCAAGTGGATCACTAGTGAGTTTCCACAGAAGCAGCTCCCTGACTTCTTTTTGGAGAGGGGGGCATGTATATGTGTAATAACATACATGCACACATCAGTGCAGTCTGAAATCAGGTAGTGCTGGGAAGGTTTAACGTGCAGAAAGGGGGCTCTAGCATGTTTTAAAGTGATTCTGTTTAGCAAACTGCAGATAACTAAATAGTTTAGTTTAAGCTCAGATAGGATCCTCGGAGCTTGGGAGAAAACAAGAGTAGAGACAGAAAATTAAATAAGCAAACTTGGTCCTGGCACTTATCCAGCTGCTCTGTTTGAGTGGTGGGCTAAATGCCTGGACGGAGTCCAAGAGGATTTCTGTCTTCTGAAAATATTAGCATTTGGCTGGAGATACTTGATGATTGTTGAACTGGAATGACACCTGTCCCATAGCAGGCTCCCAGTGTGAGTGAGCCCCAACAGTAAGCATGGGGGTTGACCCATCATTATCCTTCTCAGTCTTTGCTTCCATGTCACTGTGTGTCTTCTCCCACCTACAGGATAGTGAGCGTGAAGGAGACACGACTGACTACACTGGTGGCCAACTTCTTGGTGGGTCTCTCGCTCTTCCTCCTGCCCTTCCCACTGCAGTGGATCCCGAAGCCAGTCCTCTATGGCCTCTTCCTGTACATCGCCCTGACCTCCATTGATGGGAATCAGCTCTTCGAGAGGGTGGCCCTCTTGCTGAAAGAACAGGTATAGAGAGTCGTCCTGGAACTGGAAATTTACTGCACAGGATATGGAACAAGAAATAGCGCCTTACACTCTGTTTCCTGAGGAAACTCATATAATGAGTTGATTACTATAGCTTCAAAACATTGCCATTAAATAGTCCATGATTATGTGTGTTTTAGCCTCCTCCTTCCCCAAGCCATCCTCCCCACACACCACACGCCCTATATAAGCTGTCTTGTGCGTGCGGCCACCATAATAATTACAGGGCAATAGGCCACCACAGGATTCCTGACCGGCTCGCCATTAACCCTGACAGGAAGGGTGCTTCAAAAACCTTATGTTCCTCTCCTTTGCTTGATACATGAAGGCGCTTTTGTTGCCTGCCTTTGCATCACACCCTCATTTTGTGTTGATCTTTGTCGTGTGGTTTTCACTTCCTTGCAGGTTGGCAAACAAGGCACAAGCTCTTTGGACCTTGAACTCACCCCTTCTCACAACGATGGGGATGGCATGTTTGAGTCCCTTTGCACTTAATTTACCCCCCAAACGTTCAGAATTATAATACCTCTTGGTGTACGTTAGACAGTGAGTCGAACCCGGCTCTCAGCCATGAGCATGCGGCTCCCAGTGAAAATTCCTCAGGGCAACGGTTAGCCAGTAACTTTATTTTTTTCTATTAAAAAAGAGTGAAACTAGTGCTCGTAAAAGCGAGGAACACCCTGATTGTAAGCTCTTTGCTGCTACAAGGACTGTCCATCTCTCTTTGGGTTCGGTAGCATCTGGCGGGATAGGACATTCATCCAGACTGAGGCATCTGTGTATTACTGTAATACAAACAATAATATTGACTTGACCCACATTCAGTTCAGGCAGATGTATAAACATCTCTGCATGCTGGAAATCTGTGGTGCTGGGAGTGCGGTTCCCCATGGAGCCTCAAGCTCTGCATGCTTAGGATGCCAAACCACAGGAGTAAGACAAGTCCCTGCCCAAAGAACTTGCCGTCAGAGTAAACAAAGAGGGGCATGCAGCATTCAAAAACACCTCCGTGACTGAATAGTTATGGTTCACCCATTAGTTCCATGGTTCTTATCATTGGGTGGTACAGTTTTTCCTGTTGCCTTTGTTTTCTTTTATCTGTATTATAAATTACTTAAACTCTGCCATTTGTTGCCTTTAAAATACCCCATTCCAGCCTGGGGGACTCTGAAGAGTCAGTTACATGGGGCTTCCCAAGCAACTTTTCCCTTCTGTGAGTTTTGCACAGAAGTGACCGAGCTTTAATGTGCTAATCTTTCACCTCAGGAGAAATGGGCTCCAAAGGACCTTATATTGTTACTCCTGCTGGAGACAAACCCTGAAGTGTTTGCAGAGTACAAGCCATAAATGCTTGAACAATACCATTAAATAGATTTGGCATGTATTAATATATTTCTACCCTCTGACTGTAAAATATCTGGAACGTATGTTTTAAAAGCCAGCCACAGTGTCTACATACAGGGATAATATCTGTATGCTGTATAAATCCCATAAAATACCAGGTGTATAATGACAATGAATTTGAGAAGCGAGTAAAGCCAATAGCATAGTGAAACATTTTTCTTTTTATAAAACAAAGGTTTAAAATCTCAAATCGTGACTAGAAATGTTCAGTTTATGCAAGTCTAAACTAAACAAATGCAGTTTAAAGCTAGCTGGTGAAAAATTAGTTACTCCTTCACTTACTCACCATGTCCTGAGTTCAGAATTACATTCCCCAGCTACAGAAGATATCCCTGCCTTGTTCAGTGAAGTTATCAGTTATTGCAAGAGAGGAAAAAGAACCCTTATCTCAGGTCGTGGCATGTGAAAATGCTTTTCAGTTCGCCTGCTAATAGAGTATTTTTAGAAACCAATTACATTTCACAGCTGATAAGCAGTTGACTTCCAAGGTAGACTGTCATTCCGGAAAGCTACCGATTACAATCCATTGGCAATTTTTCAGTAGAATAGTTTTCCATTGGAAAATGCAGTTTTGCCGAATTCGCACTGATTCTCAGGGGCATGTTGACTTTGACCAAATTTTCATCAGGAAAAAGTGGAAATGATTCATTTCAACTTTCTCATTGCATTTTAACAATATTGACATGTTAAAATATTGATTTTAATATTATATTACATTTATATATGTTATATTTTAATATCAGCTAAACATTGACACAAAATAAATCAAAATGATGAAGTTGTGATTAAACGTTTTTACCTTATGGGAAACATTTTGATGGTCCTGAACAGAAATTTTTTGGAATTTTTATTAGGCAGGAAATTTTGGTTTTCCGATCCGGGATGGAAACAAATTTCAAAGTGGAGCAGAAATTCCATTTAGTTCTTCTGCTGATGTTAACAGGACAGAAGCAAAGCCAGTCACTAGGTTAGACAGCAACAAGTAGTAATGTGAATCTCCACCTTATACATTATGGTATTGTAATAAGGGCCAAATTATGGTTGTCCTTCAAGAGATTGCACATGCGTGTTCCACTCTTGGTGAGCACGTGCCCAGCTCACAGTTGTTGGAAATTTTTCCTTCAGTGGTACCCATGGGGTAGCTCAAGTGCACTCTGCTGCCGTGCGCCACTGTGTCCAGCGGTCCAAGAAACCCCTCAGAACTTTCTTACTGCCCGGGATTGTCATTGGAAGTTCTTGGCTTGCCTTTGCACGTGCTCTGTGTGCTCATTGTAAATAGTTTTCTAATTGAGTGGTACTTCATTCATAGTGTAGATAGGATTTGTTTCTTTTTCAGTTCCCAGTTTGGGGTTTCCATTTCTTGGTACCAAAAGGTACCCTGCATTTCCTGCACTAGGCCAATGTACCCGAGCAACCCACACTCAAGCTGCTTGAATTCTTTAGGGGAAGCTCATGTTTGAGGTTGCTGCCAAATCTGCAAAGACTTTAAGTCTAGGACAAGGGAAGACAGAGAAGCCAGGCTAAAGATTATGCGCATGCCAGCAGCCCTGAGACCTCTGGCAGAGCCCAGCTGTTTGGACTCAGCAGTGACTGCTTCATCATTGGTTAGGAGTCTTCTATGTTGCCCAAGACCCAGCACTGCTCACTCTCCCCATGCCTAAGAAGAGGCATACGACCTCTCAGCAGATCACCGTTAAGGAAGGTTACTGGCACCAAAATGCTCTAGGCTTGGGATAAACACAGAGTGCAGCTGAAACCCAAGCACTCCTCTGATACCACAGAAACCAGCACCACTGACTCCATAGGTACCATCTAGTTCAGGGCCTGATGGAGCACCTTCTATGTCTGCAGTACTGCATCATTCCGAGACCATCTTTGAACTTACCACTCTGGTGGCGTCTGTGGCAGTGAGAGGTCTGCGGAACCTATTGGTACCGGTTTCCCCGGCAGTGCAGGAGACCATGCAATCGGTACCAGTAGACACCAGTATTGTCAGTGCAGTGCTCAGTACCACTACAAACTCCACTGCCTCCGACATCATGCCTGATGGTATCAGTGAAGGGGAAGCATGCAGTGTTGGCAGTGCGATGCTCTTCTCTGACTCGCCGCCCGTCTTCAGCACCATCAGGAGCAGCCTGTCCTTGGCCAGCAGAGGGAGCCTCGTCCTCCTCTGAATCGGAAATTGGCGCCTGTGCTTCCCAGCCTCAGAGCTGCTCTTGCCACTATCCATCAAGGCGCTACTACCCTGCTAGGGATCATCGATTTGGCAGAAAAGTTTATTCTACTGGGGGTTGCAAGACGGGATTGCCAACTAACAAGCTCTTTTGGGACATTATGATTTTAATGTTTGGGACTGCATGTTAAAGTTTAGGGACATGCTGCCAGAGGACCCTAAGCAGGAATTCTCCTCGTTAGTTAATAAGGGGAAATCTGTAGCAAGAACTTTGCTGTAGGCTGACTGGATGCAGCAGACTTGGCAGGTAGGACTGTGGTTTCAGTGGTGTCCATGCTCAGGAGCTATTGGGCACTGTCCTCGGGGCTTCCACAAGAGGTCCAACAGACATTACAAGACCTGCCCTTCGAAGGGTCATCACTGGTTTTTGGTGCAAACCGACTCTAAGCTCCATGGTTTGAAGGACTCTGGGGCGACTTTAAAGGCTTTGGGGTTGTACACTCCCTAGCTATCCAGAAAACATTTCTGCCTGCAGCAGACTCATCATTACTCTTCCCCTGCACCTCAGCAGGACCTGCAGAGAGAGAAGAGTGGGGGTTATAGATGCAGACCACCACCTCCTTCTGCCTCTGCATCAATACCTGCTCTATACAGACACCCAGGGGCTGCTAAACCGGCATTTTGGTGGGTCACTACAGAACGCCGTGCCAATTTTCAGAATGCCAGGTTCCATCTTCCCCATATTCGAAAACTGCCTTTCCCACTGCCTCAGTGCTTGGTCCCAGATGACTTTGGACTGATGTCTGTTAAGCACTGTGGACTTAGGATATACCCTCAATTGGTTTCTGCCCCTCCCCATTCCTCTTCAGGGGATGCTCTTCCGAGGATCTCCTCCTCCAGGTGTTCAGTCACGCCTTTGGGTAGGAGCCATGGAGGAGGTTCTGCAGTGTCTCAGAGGGGAGGGGTTCTCTTCCCGTTATTTCCTAATCCCTAAAGCGAAGGGAGGTATCAGACCAATTTTAGACCTGTTCCAGCTCAACAGATTTCTCAAAAGGATAAAGTTTTGCATGGTCACCCCGGCTTCCATTATTCCCATCCTGGAGACTGGTTTGCCGTCCTTGATTTAAAAGATGTCTGATTTCATGTGGCAATTTATCAAGCTCACAGAAAGAATATCAGATTCATATGCTTTTCCTGCAATTCCTCTCCTACACAAAGTGTTGCTAAGGATCAAACAAGGCCATGCCTGGGTTATACTAGTACCTCCAACATGGCCCCAGCAGACTAGTTCTCCGTTCTCCTGGATCTGTCTGTGGAGGCTTCAGTTTCACTTCCATTGGACTCAGACTTAATTTCCCAAGATCATGGTGGGCTGCTCCACCCGAACTGGTGGGCACTTCTTTTAACTGCTTTGAGGCTCCATGGCTAAATCCCAGAGAGGAGTCTTGCTTGGAGCAAACTCTCAATGTCTTGTTAAATAGCAGAAAGCCCTCCACCGGGTCTATTTACATGTTGAAGTGGAAGCATTTTCCCATCTGGTCTTGTCAATCTAGGATTTCGCCAGTGCAGTCGTCAATCCATCATATCCTGGACTATCTATGGCATCTAAAACAGCAAGGTTGGCAATTACTTCTATCAAGGTCCACTTGGCAACAATATCAGCTTTTCATCTCCGTATGGACTGGACAACTGTTCTATATTTTCTAATGATATGACAATCAGATTTTTGAAGGCTCTGGAAAGGTTGTATCTTCAGATAAGGAAACCTCTCCTTTGCCCTGGGACTTGAACCTAGTTTTGTCAAGGCTCATGAGGCCTCCATTTGAGCCTCTGGTAGCTATCGCTTCGGACAGGAAGGTGGCTGAGCTGCATGCAGGAAGGTGGGCAAATCACCTTATACAGTCTTCTTTAAGGTTTGAAGTATATTTGCACCCTCATCCAAGATTTCTCTTTAAAGTGGTATCTAATTTTCGTATTAACCAGTTGATTTACTTACCTATCTTTTGCCTCAAAACGACACTCCAATGGAGAGGAGCAATGCCTGCATACTCTAGGTGTTAAGAGATTTTTGGCACTCTACATAGACAGAACTAAAGAGTTCCATTTGTCAACCCACCATTCAGACTCATTGCAGACAGAATGAAGGGTCTCCCAGTCTCTTCATAAAGAACTTTATCTTGGGTAACCTCCTGCATTAGTGTAAGTCATGATCTTACAGGCATTTCCCCGCCCAGCAAAGTGATGGCACATTACATAAGAAAGATCACAAGTAGCGTTGGTGTGTTCGCTATCCAGGAAATGTGTAGAGCAGCAAACTGCTCTTCAGTTCACACCTTTGCATCCCATTATGCCATCATCCAATACTCTAGAGGTGAAGCTAAATTTGAACAAGTTGTGCTCCATTCTGTATGTCCATGAACTTGGATCCCTCCTCCTACTTTACGGCTTGAGTCACTGAGAATAGAATGCACATGTGCAATCATTTGAAGAAGAAAAAACGGTTACTAACCTTCTGTAACTGGTATTCCTCTAAATGTATTGCCCATGTCCATTCCACAACCCACCCTCCTATCCCTCTGCATCGGAGCAGTCCAGAAAGAAGGAACTGAGATGGTTCTGGGGCGACTGGGCCCTTTATACCAGCACACAGTGGCGCACCATAGCAGAGGGCCCTTGAGTCGCCCGGATGGGTACCAGAGGGAAATATTTCCAACGACTTTGTGCAGATTGCATACGCACCAAGATTGAGATGTGTTGCACACATCCATTCAAAAGGACAACAGTTACGGAAGGTTAGTAACTCTTTTTTTCACTGGCAACACTCCCATTGATTTCAGTTGAGCCCAGGATTTGGTCCTAACGGAAAAACAGTCTCCTAATTTTATTTGGCATCTGTTGACACCCACTGCTACCTAGGATGTCACAGGTACTGTTGATTCCATTGATTGAATATACTTATTTGTAAATAAAGAATGGGTATGGATATTGTATGCAGAGTACTCCATTTGTTGTCTCTTGTCTTATACTTAGGTTGTAAGCTGTTTGGGGCAGGGACTGTCTTTTTATTTTGTGTTTGTACAGCACCTAGCACTATGGGGTCCTGGCCCATGACGGGGCTCTTAGGTGCTATGATACACAAATAACAAATAATATCTGTTTTAGTACAGATTAGCCTGTTGTATCTAGGTTAGGAAACCTGCATAACTGGTGCTGTGATCCTAGATCCATTCGTCTGTATCAGCATCAGCGGATAGTCACTCCTACTCACACTACATTGCCGTCTCCTTGTGTGTGGTCTCTTCTATCCTCTCCCCAGCGAAGTTCCACAGTTGCTCGATCTCAGATTGGGCTGAAGTCTGCCCCCTAAAGAGAAGATGGAAAGTTCTCAAATGATTAAAACATAGAAAACAAACTCAAATGGGAGCAGCACGCAAACAGATCTGCCTAACATAGCATCACCACATGATGCACACACTCTCCCTCGCCCCCGGATATTTTACATGTTGCTACAAAGTGCTGCTAATCATACACAGAGGAATCTAATTATGGCATTTAGATCAGTATTTCTTGTGCTCCAGATGTTCCTCGAGGCGAGTCTATCTCTGGTTTTCCCCCATTTTTTATTGCCCGGTGATTCTCTGTGTTCTGTTGCCAGTATTAGCTTTAACCCTAGAAATCCCCAATTCAGCCCTTTTGGCTTAAGGAACGGGCCAGTACTCCGCTTAGAAAATCCTTCAACATCTGCAGGGCCATTTGTGTATTTGTGATATCTACCCGTTGACTTGATGTGTGATATGAACCCTTACAGCTGTTTGTTGGTTTCCCTAAAATAATTTCTCTAATGAGCACACTTTTTAGACTTTATTCCCACCTGGACTGATTTGTCTATTGCTGCCTGACGTATACTTCTTCTCTCGTTCACAGACGGCTTACCCTCCGACGCATTACATCCGCAGGGTCCCTCAGAGGAAGATCCATTATTTCACAGGCCTGCAGGTTCTTCAGCTTCTCATCCTCTGTGGGTTTGGGATGTCACCGTTACCGTACATGAAGATGATTTTTCCTCTCATTATGATAGGAATGATCCCGATCAGGTAAGACGCTCTCTGTACCAAAGACACCTCACTGAGTGGCCAGGCTGTTTGGCTTCTGACTAGGCAACTACATACTACTTAGGGCAGGTGTACACTACCACTGAAGTTGATCTAAACTACATTGCTCAGGGGTGTGAAAAAGCCCCTGCACTCCCTGAGCGATGCAAGTTTTGCGCTGTCCACACCAGCGCTATGTCGGCGGGAGACACTCTCCTGCCAGCGTAGCTTACGCTTCTTGCCAAGGTGGAGTCATCATGGTGACAGGAGAGCGTTCCTCCATCGGCATGGTGCGTCTTCACCAGACACGCTACAGCGGCGCAGCTGCACCCATGTAGCACTGTAGTGTAGACTCGCCCTTCGATTTCTCTGTGATCCTGTGCCATATTCTGCACTGGCTTGAGTGGTCACACAAGGTGCCAACTTGCTCCCCTGGAACCAGCTACCAGGATCATGACTAGCAGTGTGCGGTGGATGGGATCTTTCTCAGGACTTCCCAAGGTGGTGTGGGGCAGGGAGCCTTGGAACCATATACACCAGATAAGATATCTAAGTGAAAGCCACCCATGACCGAGACAGACTGTAGCACAGAAGCAAGGAGGAACGCAGAAGGCAGATTGGTCTGCTCTAGGGGTAGCATGACAATCCCTTGATTGGGGTAAAGCTGTGATTGAGTCTTCAACCTGTAATGTCCTAGGGTATGTCTACACTACCGCGGTAGTTCGACGGCTGGCAATCGAACTTCCGGGTTCGATTTATCGCGTCTGGTCTGGACGCGATAATTCGAACCAGGAAGTGCTCGCCGTCGACTGCGGTACTCCACCTCAGCGAGAGGAGTACCGCGGAGTCGACGGGGGAGCCTGCCTGCCGCGTGTGGACCGCGGTAAATTCGAACTAAGGTATGTCGACTTCAGCTACGTTATTCACGTAGCTGAAGTTGCGTACCTTAGATCGAATTGGGGTGTTAGTGTAGACCAGGCCCTAGATTACTCATGCAGCACCCTAGCTTGACCTGTAACTAGTTACTCTCAGCAGAATTGTTACATACAGTCACGAATGTTCTCCTAAAGAACTCTTAGTGTTAACTTAGTGCTTTACAGCTTCAAACCTCTGCACAATTACAGCAGTCTCCTGTGCAGTGCTCCCTAGTGTTAAGATTACATTGGCACATGTTCACAATTGGCTGAAATTTGCCATAGTGGCCCAGAAGTGATTTGTTTTTTTTTGGGGGGGGGGTTGGTCTAAATTTCGGGAGACTCTCTGGATGCTTTAGGGGCCATTAGTGAGTGAAAGAAATTCATTTTCTCAGCATTGTAGGAGTTGGGGTTTTTTGGCTCATTAAATAAAACAATTGACCGACGCCCTCTTTCGTATTCTGTCCTTTCTTAGGTGTGGTGGGAAATGAATTAAACATCAAACAGTCATAAGCTATTGAAAATCACTTCTAAGCATGCTTGTTGGGCATTGGCCAGCATTGTAGCAGTTTAATGATTCCCTGCTGCCTTTGTTGCATTACAATGCAGCGTTTCCCACCTGATCCAAAAGACACTGGGGGCTGCTCGGAGAATCTGCAAGAAAAAGATTGCAAATGAACAGTGTGTGTCAAAGGTGGAAACTAATGGCCCAATCCTGTCCCCGTTGAAGGGAACATCAAAACTGCTGTGGTCTCCATTAGGATCAGGATTAGGCTCTGGATGACTGTCGTTTTCTGTTGCTGCCCTTAATTGCTGCTTTTCCGTATGAGCTGCTGGTCACTCAACCCAGCCTTGCAGAAAATGCCTCCAGCCAGACAATGACAGCAGCACGTGTGAGCATCTCCTTTCCCGTCCCCTCAGTGGCTGTGTCTAAATGAAAATTTTAGGTAATTCTCTTTTGGTTGCTGTAACAACAGTGCGTCACCTATGGTGCTAATGTAACCCCCACATCTCCTGGGTGTGGTGTTCTGTCCCATCTAGTGGCACCGAGACCACTTAGAAGGAGAGAGGGAAAATGAGTCTGCTCTACAGCCTTAGCTAACAGCCAGTTGGCTTTTAGCTCATGCAGTAGAGGCTCATGCACTAAGCTCCAGAGGTCCCAGGTTCGATCCCGCCTACTGACAACTGGGCGTTACAGTAATACAGGGAGCACTAGTGCAGACCGTCCACAGGTGTTTGTACCACCTTGCCATCGAGCCCTGCTGTCAGGAGAACTGTTCACAGCTCACAGTAGAGCGAGGTGTGGATTGAAAATGGAAGTGAAATCATTTAAATGTTATCCTGCATATGTTTTGCTTTCCTTTAATTAGAAGGGGGGAGGGGAGTGGATTGCAAAAAACAACAAAACCCCCACATACAACAACATCGAGGTTACATTGTTTAACTGTATTAAAAAAATAGGAATTGCAGAATCATAGGACTGGAAGGGACCTTGAGAGGTCATCTAGTCCAGTCCCCTGCACTCCAAGTTACAATTCTTATAGCAACATTCACTGTCTCACACTGCACACAGACAATATTAGGGATTACTGCTTAGACTGCAAGATGGATACTTCAGTATGTGCAATCAGAGCAAGTTTGTAACTATGAGAACCGTTACTTCTCTGTGTCCTGAATTTTTGTCCTCTTTAGTTAGTGTTACAGCAGGGCTGAGCAGGGTGGATAAAAACAGATGGTTTGTGGTGGGGGGGGGGGGGGGGGGGGGAGAGAATTGGATTTTTTATTTAAATTTATTTAAATTAATGTTTTTCTTGACAAAATAAACCTGTTTACCATGAAATCTGAATTTAATACAAAATATGTTAAGGTCTAAACTTCTTATAATCAAAACATTTAAATAAAAATTAAATATGCTGAATCCATGAGCCTCTATCAAAAACTTTTGAGTTAAAGGCTGCTTTCCTACAGAGAGAGAGAGAGAACCAGAGGATAAACATCCAACTTTTGAAGCCAATCTTGATGAATATGGCACAATAGGACATGTGCTGTATTAAAGGCTTGATCCTGTGGGGGACCCAGGGGCTGTGCTACTGGGCGCAAGAGGCTGGCAAAGTCACCACAGACGCTAGGACCTAGCCTCCGACTCCAGGAGACACCATCATGTATCTTGTCAGGATCATCCACTGAGCCCACAGGGGTGGTCTCATACTCCTTTTCTATAGCTTCTCCCTTCCTTTGCTCCGATTGGCTCAGTTCTCAAATTATGAATATTTATGGCTTCACCCATCGTTGACCATTTTCTAACTTACACAAATGTACAATTGATAAGAATCTGAACATACTAAGCTATATAATTGCTTAAATAAATGTACATCGTAACAGTGAACCCTTCTGAGTAGCAAAAAGATATACCAAATCTACTTTAAAGGCTCTATTTAGCTGTACATCAACATGTTTTTAATGGTTATATCAACCAGTGAGAGTGTTCCTTTCTTTAGAACGGGGGTAGGCAACCTATGCCACGCGTGCCGAAGGCAGCACGTGAGCTGATTTTCAGTGGCACTCACACTGCCCAGGTCCTGGCCACCGGTCTGGGGGGCTCTGCATTTAAATTTAATTTTAAATGAAGCTTCTTAAACATTTTAAAAATCATATTTACTTTACATACAACAATAGTTTAGTTATATATTATAAACTTATAGAAAGAGACCTTCTAAAAACGTTAAAATGTCTGACTGGCACGCGAAACCTTAAATCAGAGTGAATAAATGAAGTCTCGTCACACCACTTCTGAAAGGTTGCCGACCCCTGCTTTAGAAAATAACTGAAATACAAATGGAAAAGTTGATTAAAATTGATTAATTAAATGAAAGCTTTCCACCCGGTGCTTGAAATCATGCTTTAAATCAACCCACCCTGCTGCTGAGAGTCCCCAACCAAGACTCGAGGCCCTGTTGTGCTAGGTGTTGTACATACACATAGTAAGTGACAGTCCTTGCCCCCACATCGTTGATCATTTAAATAGACAAGACAGACACGGGGTAGGAGAAGGGAAGTATTATCCCCATTTTATAGATAAGGAAGTGGAAGGGAGATTGTGTCACACGGGGAATGTTTGGCAGAGCTGGGAACTGAATCCGTATCCAGTGAGTCACAGCAGAATTTTGCAGAAATTAACATTGTGCGCACAGAATTTCCTTTCCCCCACAGAAATGGGCTGCGGTGCCACTAGGGGCCACTGGATTCGGCAGAGCCCAGCTCGCACATAGAAGACACTGCTGGGGGGAGGGAGAGGGAGCTAGAGGGTTCCTGGCAGCTGCAGTTCCCAGCATGCCCTGAGGGAAGGCGAGGGCAGCATGCAGGAAACTCCGTGTAGGCCTGGGACTAAGCATCAGGGTGTTTCTCCCTCTGGATCCCTTGGCTCGGGAGCCCACAGTTGAGCTCTGCAGGAAGAGGTGTGGGTGTCTGGCCCCATGGCTGGACTCTGGTGGGGAGAAGAGGGCAGAGAAACAGGAACTGGGTTGGCATAGGGGGTTTCTTTAACTCTCTACTCCTGGGGGAATTTTTGCGTGTGTCCATGTTCTTACAGACATACTTGCTGACAGGTATTTTGAAATAACTTACCAAAATAATTGAAACTGGTGTGATTATGTAGTATTATTTTGACCAATAAAATTTGCAGAGTTTGCAGAATTTTAAAATATTGGATGCAGAATTTTTAATGTTTTGGCGCAGAATGCCCCCAGGAGTAATTATTTTGGGAGACTCTACCCTGGCTGTAATGGAATATTCCATCCGGAGAAAATGTGACCTCTCTCAATGCTTAGCAGGGTCAGAGCTTTGGGGAAGCATGGATGCTGCTGACTAAACGTGACTTCTCTGGCACTGTATCCCCATGGATAGGAGAGTATTTTAAGCATCCCTTTTCCTCTTTGCACAATCATTTGTGTTTCACAACATGAACTGAATGTAGATCAAACAGAGTTTGTGTTTTCCAGGATGTTTTCATTTTCCAGTGTTTATCTCACATCGGATCAATTTGAGGAGTTTAGGACATTGCGCTGCAGTTAGTGAGATTTGAAATCTCCTTTCCTGGCTACCAATTGAGGAGCTCTAAATCTAAACCAGGCTTATTACATTGTTGTCTTTATTATTTAAATAGCTGAAAAGTAACTTCCTGTGCTGTTGAGGAAGCAGAGGATTAATCTACAAATATCCAGTAGAATATATTAAGGAGAAAGCTTATTAATGTTGACTGCGTTGTCACTTAGTGTTTGTTTCACTCAAAGGAGATACCATTATTATTATGTTGTATAAAAGTAGATTCCAGAGGCCCCAATCTGTACCGTGCCCGGCACAATGGGGTCCTGGTTGGAACATGGAATAAGGCAGTCCCTCCCGCAAAGACCTCACAGGGACAAGACATGTAGAACACAGTGAAGTGGGCAGAAGCAAAAGACGAGTGACTGTAAAAGCAGTGGTGCTAGCACTCACGAGCAATATTTGGTGTGTTTTCTTAAAGCCCCAGCTCTTGGAGGCATTAAGTGTCTGAGAATCTTAATGACTTTTGTTTATTTGGGTTCTCGTAAAAGGAACTCAAATGTATTCTTTTATTTGAAATGGCGTCCTGTTTTAAGCCAGTCTCATGATGTTTTGGGTCCTGCTTTGTGACTTTTGAACACCAGACATTAGAGAGGGAAATGACGTTCTAGGAAAGCTAGACCCCTCCTGAACACGTCAGCTCCTCAGGCCTGTTTATGTTCTGTTTCGACCAATCAAAAGCTGGTCAGCTGCCTCCCCCAAACCAGCCAGGGACACAGATGTGGGGGCGAGGCCAACATTCCACTCCATCCTTGCCGCCTTCAGAGGGGAGAGGGAGCACCAGCGCTGGCCATGGTGGAGATGCTGCCCTGACAGCTGAGGGCAATTTGTTCTAGGCAATTCTTTGCAACGCTGCCATTTCAGGGATTCCCGCGATGTGAGCAAACATGGCTGTGTTTTCCCTCCAGGTTCACAAACCTGATGTAAATCAGCAAGTGGCATGAATTGCCCCAGACACACCCAGCTCTGAAGAGCCTGGAAAAGGATGAGCATAACCCTTATTGCAGCACTAACCTGAATCTAATTCTCTCTGTTCACTCGTAGGTATAACCTGCTTCCTAGGATCATTGAAGCAAAATACTTAGATGCTATGGACGCGGAGCACTAAAAATGAATCTCTGCTCTGAGAACAACGAACAGCTTTTCGGATCGAAAGGAAATGGCAGCCTTGCTGAGATGTAGAATTATTTATCTGAAGTTCTCTTTTGTTTAGAACCTCCAGGACTTTCTTTCTGCTCTAGTCTGGCACTTGGAGATACACGGTTGAAGACCAATTGGCCATTCAAGTTTCAGATCAAAACAGCCTTGGATTGAGAGGCCAGTACTCTTCTGAGTTTTGAGGCAAGCCAGCTTTATGGAAATGTTACCTTCTACATCCTAAAACTTGAAATCCCACAGATCAATGTGTTTCTCTTGTTGGATTGTGCTGTGCTAGGGTTGCCTCGCGTTCCCTTTTTTAGGGGGGGATCCCTTTTTTATACACTGTCCCTTTTCCCAGAACACTATTGATATGTAAGGACAGTAATCAACCCTTGCTTTACAGAATTACTGAATAATTTGGAGCTTTAATGCAATTACCCATCTCTCCAGTTCATCTTCCAGAAGGATAGCCCTATGTCAGAGGAGACGTGTAGTGATCTCGTCAAGTTCTTGATTAGTGGATGGGCTGGGAAGCAAAAGAATATGGTTGTGCTGAGATTGTGTATTTAATTTCTTCATATGTACCAGAAATGTTCAGAGGTTGGATTCACTTTGTGATGCTGATGTAATTACAGCTGGGTCTAAGCCGCTTGGGAATTAGTTGAACCTATTTTACACTGTTACTTCTCAGTAATCAAATATAGAATTGTAGGTTTGTACAGCAGCAACCTTTTTGGTTGTGCCCAAATTCACCTGGATGCTGAAATGTGGCAAAATTCAGTCATGTGCATTAATGTTCGCATATACATATGTACAGAACTGCCTATGTGTACATATATACATACATAATTTAGATTTGTGTATATATTTTGCATATATATTATACATATATTGGATATATAGGCATATTCTTTCAAGATATTGAAAGTGTTCTTGTGCAATCAGTGTTACCTGTACTATGTTGACATACATTTGTCCTTTGCTTCAGTGCTTCTTTTTTCTTATTCAAAGCCATTCTTTGTCAAACTGCATTAACCCAATTACTGATTATTATTTTTAAACATACTGCTAAGTTCAAACATTCCTTCATTTTCCTCTAGTCCTTTGGCTTTTGTGACCTGCATCATCCTTTCTGACGTGAATTTTCCATTTAATTTTAATGTACAGTATGTAGTGAAAGTTTGTTGTTTTCTAATCAATATTTCTGTTTGTCACTTCACTGTTTCAGTTTTGTAGCTACCTCCCATTTTCCCCCACCCCCAGACATTACATTATATTTCTGTATGAATTCTAACTCTCCTGCTCTCGATTTTATCTTTTGGTTTATTTAATTTAGCTGGTATTATGGTCAGTTTTTCTATACTTGAAGTACTGTGAAACAAGCTATCCTTTAGCAGAATTCCATATTGATCTGCAGTGCAGCTAGTGGCAAACTTTACAAGAAAAGAAAGTGGAGCAATGAAGATAATTTTAAAAAGCAAAAATTAGGATCACATTACAATAAATGCAAACAGACAGTAGATTAGCGCAGACAAGTGTTCTGTTTCAAGCAAATTGTTTGCACAATAATTGGCGGTGAGATTTATCAGAGAGAATAAATCGGCGATTTGGCTTCCTTTACAAAGTAAAAAACACATCTCTCCATCACTGAGAGGAACTGGGGAAGAAAGCTCATATGCTAAAACCAAACTTATAAACCTAAACTCAGTAACTCATTCAATAATTAGTTTGCTTTTAATAACACTCAAAGGGATTCCATCATAATGCAATTGCCTACAGCTTTGAAGGAAAGTACTGAGAGCAGAGTGTTCAGTTTCCCTTTGAAGTTTCATAAGTTTCCCATTGACAATCCAATGAAGGAGCACCAGGTTGTTCCTAAGGGTGTATACGTTACTGTCGGGGATAAACATTGAGCACAGTAATTGCAGGGAAATAGTTTCTCTACTTCATTAGCCATCTAAGCAGCATTGTATTACCTTGAAAATGTAACCTTATGTTCTACTCAACTCCTGCGGATGTGCTGTGAAGGGCATAGCCTAATTTGGCCCTCCTAATAAATGAAACGTGGGCATTGCCATTAATTTGTTTTTACTAGGAATGTCTTAGCATACCAAAAAGAAATCGCTATAGTAACAAACATGGCTAACTAACTAACAAACAGATCTGACGCTTTTTGCATGATCCAGAACAAGAAGATAAGAATTAAAGGCAACTAAATTATGCACATTGACTAATATTCTTAATCCTGGCATCAGGTCTATAGTAGGCTTGCTAGTAGTCATTGCAGAAGTTTCAAATTAAAGTTTATTCGTTTCTTTAATTTCACCTAAAGATGAGGTGAATGTTCAGCAAACAAGGCTGTTGTATGGTCCAGGGGGCAGTCTGTGCCAGTCCAAACAAAAAAGGCTAGGTGACTCCAAAAGCGAACAGTATTGATATCCATGGTCAGATATGAATTGCAATAAGACAATTTTCCAACAAATTCTTTCCTTCCCAGTGTAAAACACATTGAAATGAAACCCCCTGAAAAGAAGGTTGGGTGTCTCAAATACTTTGGAGTGACCTGCGTGTTGAAAACATGGGTGTTCGAACTACACATTTGTTGTGTTATGTCATTGATGCCTGGGCTCCCAGTGTTTGTGTTTCTAACAGCAGACCTCACAATGTGAAAAATCAGACTCTGTGCATGAGCGGGTATAAAGCACATGATGGATCCCCTGACTGGGAGTGGGGCGTGAATGCTGCGTGCAAAGCAGCTGTTTCAAGTAAAAGTGCATAGGTGAAATTCATCTCTGTGCAGTCTCATGGAACATAAGTTGTCCATAGGTTTTGGGTTGACCCTCTGCACAGGAGGTGAATTTCACTGTACACATACAATAAATCTAGTTACAGAAAAGCCTATGAGCATACCTGCAAACTGCATGAAAATACTGTAGGACTAAAAAGGAAAAGAAAACCCTATAAAACTATGTGCAATAGAACAGCTACCATAGGGTTCATTGTTCACCTTGTAAACTTACATGAGTGACCACAACCTGTCATTTTTGCATTGGCAGACTGTGTATGTTGCACTTAACAAAAGCGCTTGCAGGAGTAACCTATTTTAAATGAGCTCTTTCTCAGTTTCTTGAAAGAACCAAAAATGCCCTTTACTTTTCTCTAAGTCTCTCTGAAAATAGCAGTCCGGATGCAGTGACAAATGTCGCTGAGTTAAGCAATGTAAAATATAGAAATAGTTACACTTCAACATGATTTGGAGGCAAATTAACCCTCACAGCTAAAATAAGCACCCTAACTACTTTTATAAGTTGTTGTTTTTGGAACCGTTTGTGATGCAATTTCAACCTCGCGTGTATTTTCTTTTTACCATAAACATGACTGTTAGATGATTTTTTTTTTTCCCCCCCAGGGTTTTCACTATATAAATCATGGGCCAGAGAATCAATTGATGTAAATCATCATCACTCAATAGCACTATTCCTATTTTCTCTATCTGAGGATCTGGCCCTACATTCTAATCTATGGGTATCAGATGAAAAGCTTGACTATGTCAGAATGTCTTGAATTCTATCAGGCTCACAAGATACTGGTAAAGATGATCCTATTTCAGACCAAAAAAAAGTCAGGATTTTCATACAAGTACCTTTCCCTTCCTGTTACAAATGAAAGTTCTTTTGCTTCTCTTTTTACTGACGTAAGCAGGCATTTCCAGGAAGTAGGCTAACTAAGAAAAGAGAGTTTGCTAAACAGAACTATTTCTGCACTTTAATACCTGTGTGAAGGTTAAGACAATTAGAATGTAATCACCAAAAGTTTTCTTTTATTATAAGCTCTTTAGATAGATATGCACAATGTTATGTATAAATATTGCCAAAGAACTGGATCTGAAAAGATGAAAAGATGCTGTTAATTAAGAGGGCCCTGTGCTGTATTCTACTGGAGTCAGAAGGGAGTAGTAAATGCTTGTGAAATGACTGGAATTTTGTAACCTAAATTAGTTGCCAACATCTGCCAAAATTATGAGGGTACTGGGAAATATAATACACTTTTTTTTAAAGGCTGTAGATTGTAGGCACTTAATGGTATCGCTAGAAGTCATCCTGATCAGGTAGAGATGTAATCTTAATTGATAAATAGGTCTGCGGGTCTGAAAGTTCTTTTTAAAGCTGATGAAATTCTGTTGTTACATTACACATTGAAATGGATATGTTGAGGTTTGTTGTGTGTATTAAAGAACGCTGGTGCTGTATGGGCTGCCGAACGAGGTACAATCTGCCTTCCAGATTGCTCAGAAACTAACACACAAAAATCTCCACCAAGCAGCGGCAAAGTTTGAAAGCGTTATTGGATGTTAAAAGCTAGCTGGTTACATACCACCAGGTCACTGTTAGGGTAGTGACATAAAAAAATTAAAACTACTTTCTGGCCAAACATGCTACTTGGTGAAACATCTCAAGGTAGAATCAGATAACTGTATTGTGAGAAACACACATCACTGATGAACTGCCCATGAATTAGGGATACAATCATATAAAAACAAATACAATACACTAAGATGCTGAAATATGACCATTACAAGCCCTTGACTCCGTGCATATCACATTAGGATCACACACACAAAAAATCTCCAGCTTCTAAAACATGCTTCTCCAACTGAGCCACCGAATTAAGCCAGCTTTCGGAGAGGTGTGCACCTTCCATTTCACTGCATTGAACCCTTCATCAGGAAAACATAGTTCAACGGCATGATCTTGGGAGAAGCAGGAATTTTGGTTCAAGCTGATTGGATTGTAGACCTAGAGTTAATCGGAACAAATATTTCATTTGCCATCTCGAAGAGAGAGGAAAGAAATGTCAATGGGAGAAGATACATTGGTCTCACCTCAAGAACAGCCATCATGTTCCAGATTTCTGCTAAGCATTCACTTTGCACATGTCTGAATAGATAGAGATAAAAGTCACCTAGAACAGTGAGAGGGTCACTTTTTAAAATGTGCATTTATACCTGGAAGCTAGCTGGCAGCAGTAGGGATGGTTTAAATTAATAAATTGTTTGCCCTGTTCTGTTTCCCATACCATGGCATTGGCTACTGCTGCTAAATCGTTGCTCTCTCTTCTCCTTGTGTTGACCATCACACAGTCCTTCCATGGATCATACATCAGAGGCAAAATCTACTCTTCTACTCTCCATTCCAAAGACATTGGCAATGTGTCACTATAGCAGGCTACTCAATCTTCACTGGCCTGTGCAAATTCTGAGCTAGCTTTAAGGTGTAGGCATGGCAACTCGTGCCATCTCAGACAATTATGAATCATTCATAATTTCTGTTATATGATTGTTGTGCTGCTGTATGCAGCACCTCTTTAGATGGTTAGCTTTCTGGTGCTGTTTTTGACTAGAGCAGGCCTTTCTTTCATCTCTTGAGCTTCCAAAAATACTGAAGTGATGTGATTGTCTAATTTTCCTAGGTGTGTTTCCAAGGAGGCCAGCGGATGTTAGAAGTGAAAAGCACATAGCATTGCCAATTTGATATCAAGTTGCTTAAAGAAAACGTGCCTTGAACTCCCATTTCTATCCCCGGGGCTACAGGCCTGGCTTGTGTTACAGCAAAGAACCAGGATTGTGTCAAGAGCTGAGGGTATTGGAGGTTGCCAGAATATTTTAAGAAGTTCCAGAAATGCCTGACAACTTCTAATACCTTCTTCTTTCACTGTGTTGTGTCCATAATCCTTATGGCATCTCCAGCATTGTTGCTTCTTCACAAATGCCCATGGTTGCCCTTCAAGCTAAGAAAATTCGTCTATAATTTTTCTACAGAAAAGTGCAAGAACATGGATCACTGGGTACAATTCTGAACTGTAGCTGA